ACAGACAATTAGTATTTGTCTGTTATTCTTAGACTTTAGAGAAGGGGTTGGCAACACGTGGCTCTTTTACTGTCCTGTTGTGGCTCCACAGCAGAATTAGATTTTCAGGTAAAAATAAAATAATCCTCCTTCACAGTAAAATAAAGCTCTGCTGATCGTTCTAACAGTTTTAACAATAAATGGTCTTAAATTTTGGATAATTTGCTAATTCACCAGCCTTTACCCTTGAAGATTTGTGCGCAGACTGCTGGTCATCATAGCAATGACAACAATCTGGCCTAGCTATCCAGTAGCTAACGAAAAAGCAAAGAGAGAGATTTAAGATGAACATCGATAATTTGGATACGAATGGCCTTACTGGCATTTGTAATCACTCCAGCTGGGGTCCTGATACGTTTAATTTGCGATGAGAAACTGTCAAACACTAAAAAGTCGCGAAGGTGAGGAAATTTTCCTGTTCTACCTTAAAAGGTGTCACCATTTAAGGTGTTGGAAAAATTCGAAAAAGAAGCTGGCGAATGAGAAGCGACTTCAGCCTCGTAAAAAGTCGAATGTTGATAGACATTTTACAGGAAGCTGTTCTACTTCTATGGAAATGGAGATGCAGGAAAAGCGGCTACAGCTAAGCTAAAGCTTAAAGCAGAGCAAAGTAGGTCTGCGTTTTCATTTATAATATATTTTATCCAATACTAACACATCAGCACATACTGAGACATATTTACAGCCAAGATAGTACAATGGACATAAAATGTTGTGGCGCCCAAGGTGGTTTGATTTTTACTGAAAAGACAAAATAGCTCTTAACCTTTGGGCTGTCGACCCCTGCTTTAGATTGTTTTTGATGTAAATTTCAAGGCACATGTGGCCTACTTACCCTGCTGAAAAGGTTTTTGCTGGTTCCTGGTGGCGTCCATGATTCTAACGGTTTAACAGGTGTCCTAGGACTGATTCCACATGCATTTTTATTGGTTTCCTAATGGGATCTAAAGGTGTCCTACAGACAACTTGTGGTCTCTGATGGTAACCATTGAGCCATTAGTAGCCATTCCCATTAAAAAGCAAAACCATCAGGTTTTAATCCTAATGCTACTAACAGTATTTTTTTAGCAGGGTTGTTTCTCAGTGAAAGTCAAGGGTGAAACACAGTATGATGCTCTACTGCCATCTAGTGGGCAGGAAAATAAGGCTATTTCGGTTCTAATACTGCTGCTTTTAAAAGTCTCCTTGTGCACTGTTTATGTGGTCTTAAAAAGAGGAAATCTTTGTGATTTCTGTACTGTCAAGTGTTTGAAAATCTTTGCCTTTGTCTTATCTGTCCAATCTAACTCTGTGTGTATCTATTCATCGACTTTGCACTATTGTATTGAAACAGTGAGTGTTTCAAAAGTTAGACAATGAAATTACTCAATGTTAGACATATCACTGTATACCTGGGTAATGCCTGTATATGTCCCTATCCTGCATGGATCTAGACTGTATGTAGTGCCTATTATGAACTTTAAGTATGTAATATGCTGTAGAGATATTGCTGGAATATCTCTATGCAGTACCTAGTATGTGTTTAAGTGTATAATATGCATCTATATGTAGTACAGAATATGAGTAAGTATGTAGTACACTTATTCATATGTAGTATGAATTTTTAGTATGCACTTTTATTTATGTGTATTATGTAGTATGTATTTTAAGTGTAAAAATGTTATGTAGTATGTGGTTACATATTTTAAGTATGTACTATGTATTATTACTAAGTAGTATGCATTTTATTTTCTAGTAGACTTCTAAAAGCATATAGATAAGTATATAGTATGCATTTATGTAGTAAATGTAAGCAGTAATTAGTAATAAAAGTATGTATTATGCACATGTAGGTTCGTATTCGTATTTTGCTAAATGTTTAGTGTGTATCTGTATGTAGAATGCATTTTAAGTATGTAGTGTGCATATTATATGTAGTATGTACTATGCATTTTAGATATGTGGTATGCATCTATGTGTCGTACCTAGGACACATTTAAATATGTAGTAAGCATTACATAGTACACAGTATACATTTTAAGCATGTATTATGCATCCATGTAGTATACAGTATGTGTTTAAATGTAGTATGTAGGCATTTGTAAGTGCATTTAAATGCAGTACATAATAAGCATGTAATGTATGTAGTATGTATTTTGAGTATGTAGTAAAGCTATATAGGAATTGGTAGTAAATGTATGTATGTTCATATTCTGCACATTTATTTGCTACACATTCAATTTCATTAAAACAATTTAATGTAAGGATCAAAAGGGAATCTGAGGTATCAGTGCATCAGTATTAATCCGCCCATCCCAAAGAGAAATGACTAATAGTGTTTGGCTAGCAGTGCGAACTAACATCTCTAACTCCTCTAACTTCCCTAACTTTGTTTTAAGGGGATTTAGTCACTACTAAGGAAAATTTGCGATTGCTGCTTTTCAAAAAATCCATTGCTTTTTCAAATATTCATCTTAATTCAATCCTTGAGACATAAACAAAGTCAGTTCAGAGCAGTATGATGTGAAATGGTTCATTGTAGAGAAACTTTGGATTTCCTTACAGTGGTAGTGATCGGAACCAGGGGTTGTGAGGTCTACAACGCAAATACGACCATACTATCCAAAACGACCAGTGAACGTGCCTTTTGAGTTTTTATATGTAATATTGATAACAGTAAAATAATGTTAAATCAGCCTTAAGTTTTCTTTAGAGACTATTTTTCCATACAGCACTCTTTCATACAACACTTTAGGCCAAAACCTTCTCAAAACTATCGTAAAACTACGTCTCAGGCATCATATTCATAACCATTTCATGCGATACCTTTCTGTGAAGGAAACAGGCATTAAATGCTTCAGATGGTAAATGCTTCATGGGGTGAACAATTCTGAGTTGCCCTAGAATGGTACATTTTAAATCAACACACTTAAAAATTATGGTTCTTCAAGGCTTCTTTCGTAAAGAAAATGGTTCTGTATAGAACCATAACACTTAAAGAACACTTTGCATGATTAAAGGGTTCTTTGCATTGTGAAAAGTTTCTTCAGATTGATGGAGAATGTGCTGTGGATGAAAAGGGTTCCTTATAGTACCAAAAAGTGTTCTTCTATTGTTAAAGTGTCAAGCTTGTTGCAATTGAAGAACACTTTTTGTTGCTATAAAGAACTCTTTTCAAAAAGGTTCTATATAGAACCATTTACAGCACAATTTCCATCAATCTGAAGAACCATGTCATGATGCAAAGAACTCTTGATCATGCAAAGGGTTCTTTGAGTGCTCATGGTCTATTTAGAACCATTTTCTTTACTAAAGAACCCTTGAGGAACCATTATCATGCTTCTGTAATGCTAGAATATCAATATATCAATAGTTTTTAGAGCCTTAAAGTGCAGGGAGCTATTACTGAATACGCATTGAGAAGTTTTGGTCAGTCATTTACCCTGCTGAACAAAGATCATTAGAATTCAGATTAAACCTGATGTTTTTGCTTTCTAATGGGAATTGGCTTAATGCTTACCATTGGAGATCACTAGTTTCCTGTAGCACACCTTTAGATCCCATTAGGAAGCCATCAGATGCACCTAGAATCAGTCCCAGAACACCTGTTAAACCATTAGAGTCCTTTACACTGTGATATCAACTCATCAGGAGAACACAAAATACCATTAGTGACTTCTGGACACCAACAGAAACCTTTAATGGTTTCTATGATTTTCAGCTGAGTTCCTATTCAGCCATCAGTTTAAATCACAATATTTATGCCTACATTTGAGTAGATATCACTAAAACTACATCTCCCAGCAGTTCATACTCTATACTGTATCATACCAATAAGCAATCAGGGTTGTTAAACCTTATAGACAAGACAATTGATCGTAGGTGCCAATAACTGTGGATCAATAACTTCAAGTTCTCTGTTTTTGTCAACAGACCCATTGATTGACCTGTTCAAAGAACATGTTTTGAAAGCCTTTGAGTCTTTAAATAGGATAGAAGTCTTCAATCAGTTTGGTTAAAACAAATCCATATAGACTCAGAAGATGTGGGTAGAGGTGCCTAAACCCAGACTCTGCTGAAAGTGGTTTTACTTCAGTGAAATAATGACTCAAGCTGAAGTGGAAGTAGCTACCAAAACAACTCAATAAGGAGTAAAAAGGTATAAAAATAAACAAATGAAGTAAAATAATAATGAGCTCAGTTTAGCCCTACGATGGACTGGCAACCTTTTCCAGGATGTGTCCTGCCTTCTGCCCAATGACAGCTGGGATAGGCTCCAGCAACCCCCGAGACCCAGAAGGATAAGCGGCCTAGATAGTGTGTGTGTGTGTGTGTGTGTGTGTGAGTGAGCTCTGTTTATAGTAAAACTTCTTGGTACATCTATTATGTTTCTATTAGCATAGGACAAGAAGTTTGTTAGGCTCTATTCTCTTTTTTGTCATAAAATAAATGCTAAGGCTTAGAGGTGAGAGTTGCAAAATGAAGAAAAAGTGAAATTGAACCTAAAAAAGGATCTGGAAAATGTGAAGGACTGAAACAGAAATGAGCAAAGGACATTTCTTTCTTCACAACCATACTCAAGTATGAGTAAACCTGTCTAAATCATGTGGATGACTGTGTAAATGGAGTCACTACCCATCTCTGCCATTCAGTAACATTTCACTACACTAACAAACTTCGCTGCAACTACGCTGTGATGTTTCTGCTTTACTCTCAGGCCGTTTTCGTCCGCCAAATGTTTCTAATTTGTGATTCATGTGAGTCATTCAAGCCCAACTCGCTGGTCCTGAAAGCCCACACTGAGGTAATCATTTCCCTTTGCAAATTCCTCCCGAGTGAAGCTACACCACAATTGTGTCTGATTGGCCGGCCCCGCGGTCCAGATTGTGGAATGCTGCGTCGTGATTGGTCTGCTGCCTGGGCTGGTAACAATACGCTCGCTCTGATTGGACGGCGGCCGTGTAATCTCACCGCACTGAAGCTGGTTTAGGTTGTTTCTGACTGGGGGATGAGTTGGAGGTAGAAACCTCACAGATTATCGTTATAATTTTCAATAAACGCAATACTGTACATAATAACAGCTTAAACAAAGAATGCGAAGGGTTACGCTTTTTGTCAACGGCTCCTCCAAAAATGGCAAGGTGAGTGTTTGTACGCCAAAGAGTTCATTACAGTGACGAGGCTGAAGTTGGCTTCCTATTCGCCAGCTTCTTGTTCTAATTGTGCCGTTCCACCTTAAATAGTACAGCAGTTACATGGAACTGCTGCACCATTTAAGGTGGAGCGGGTCAACTGAACTGAGGCGAATATCAAGCTGACTTCAGCTTCGTATTACAGTGATAGTGTGGTAATGTAAACTAAGTTAGCATGTCGCCTGTGTCTGTTTATGCAGGGGTGGTGGGTAATATTAACCGTACTGTGTGTAATATTTGTATAAATGGTGTTTATTGTGACCAACATAGATGTGAACAGGGTATATTTGGTGTGTATCATGTCTAAGTTCTAGCTCTCGGACATTGGCCACGATAATAGCATCTACTGAAAAGGCCCGTAGTCGGTTAGCCAGCTAGGTTAGCTAGAAGGATTAACTTCGTGCGGAACTTCGACGATGACCCTGACTTACAGTACACTCTTTAAAAGATGGTTCTTCGAGGGTTCTTTAGTAGAGGGAGTGGTTCTGTGTAGAAGCATCAGTTCAACAGAGCACCACTTCATGCTTAAATGGTTCTTTGAATGGTGAAATGGTCCCTCAGATTGATGGAGAATGTGTTGTATGTGGTTCTATAACGTTAGAGAACATTTCTGAAAATGGTTCTATATAGCACCAAAAGGGTTCTTTTAGCTTGTAACAATAGAAGAGCCTTTTTTGGTGCTATATAGAACTATTTCCAAAATGCTTCTGTGCAGAACCATATACAACACATTCTCCATCAATTTAAAGAACCATTTTACCATGCAAAGAACCATTTAAGCATGAAGTGGTGCTTTGTAGAACTCATGGATCTAAATAGAACCATTTCCTTTACTAATAAACCCTTGAAGAACCATCTTTTTCAGTTGTAATGTTAGTTCTCTGTTATTTTAGCATTTGTTTTAAGTATATGGCACCAATGGTAGACACTTTCTTCAAGAGTGGTCAGGTAATGTTGGACATAGAACCATAAGAGGTTTAGAAAACCCCTGCACCTAAATCAATGAGGCTGAGTTTGGCTTCACTGCTGGAAAAAGACTATTAGACCCATTAGGATTAAAACCTGATGGTTTTGCTTTCTAATGGCTATTGGCTTTTAGTTACCTTTAAAGTTAGTTTCTTGCAGGATATCTTCAGATCCTATCAGGAAACCATTCAGTGCATGTGGCATCAGTCCCAGACGTCCTCTTAGACTATTATAATCTTTTATACTGTAATATCAACTTATCAGTAAAAACAAAATATCCTTATTGACTATTGGACACCACCAGGAACCAACAAACTCTGAATGGTTTCTTTTTTTTTCAGCCAAGTTCCTATTTAGCCACAGTTTAAACAGTATTTATGCCTACATTTGACTAAATATCACAGCGGTTCATACTCTATACTCAGCAATAATGCAAGCAATAATGATCTGAATTTGGCAGCATGCAAAAACCAGAGACCCTTTCTCTGTGTCTTGGAGCAAATTGCCATGTAAATATTCACATGTAGTTACAACAAACAAATAAAAGACATGAATACACAAAATTTGAGTGGTTTTTGTGAATGTTGCAAAAATGCAATAGTGGGACTTTGAGGGATTTTTCAAAAAATAATCAGCATAATTCAAATGCTGAGACCTAAACAAAGTCATTCAGTGTGGTTTAATGTAAACTGTTTTATTGTAGATAACATTTACTGACTCTAATCTCTTTACAGTGGTGGTGATGGGAACCAGGGGTTACAATGTCTACCATACAAATATAGCCATTTTATTTACTATCCAAAACCACCAGTGAAGCTACACATACCATCTGAGTTTCATATGTAATGTTTTCTTTGGGTACTGTTTTGGGTACAGCTCCCTGTATGTGTTTTAATGTCTGTTCACAGTTCAGCACAATTCAGTTCACTTCGGTTCTACCCAGCATTAACTGCTCTAGTCTGTTTCACAGTCATCTCGACTCCTTCCTTCTCTCTTCCTTCTTGCAGGTTGTAGCAGTATATGGCACTTTGTCAGATCTCTTATCCGTCGCCAGCAATAAACTGGGAATCAGGGCTAGTAACTTATACAACGGCAAGGGAGGGCTCATCGATGATATAGCACTGATTAGGTAAGATTACATTTAGATTTAAGTTCCTGGTCATAAGCTAGTACACGCTTTTGTGATGAGGCATCCTCATCTGAAGACCTACTTTGGTCCAATGTAGCGGTAATGTCCTACTGTTTTGGAGACTGTTTGGATTTAGAACATTTCTTTCTAACATATGTTTTAATATTTAGGTCAGTATCCTTGTATTTCATCTTGTAACTTAGTGCTGAAGCCCCACAGCACAGATGTATGGCTTGGCGGTACTCATTGATTACTAGTGATTTTTATCTCTCTTTACAGAGATGATGATGTGCTGTATGTGTCAGAGGGAGAAGCATTTGTCGGTAAGTCATGATGAACTTTGCAGTGTTATTGTATACCTGGAAATGCACTGAATTTGTCCTCAAAGCACCTTTTATGGAACAGAGAACATGCATGTACGTGTTTGTGTTTCAGATCCTCAGAGTGAGGGGAAGGCAGCCGAGGACCGTTCAGGCTCCCACACTGATTGGCTGACTTTGAATATTGGTGGGCGGCTCTTCACGACCACACGGTACGTAGTATAGTATTTATTAACATCTAACTGTGGGATTCATGTCCAATCATATGCAAAAGTTTGGGCACCTTGGTCAAATGACATGATTTGTTGATGTTCCAAGTGAAAATAAGGTAATACATACACTGTTTATTTGCTGATTTTAAATATTGAGAAAAAAATCACAGAATTTGTCCAAAAGTTAGGCCATATTTATATTTTTTCTACTGTTAAACTCAACAAATAAATAGAAGCTGTTTGCTAAAATGTACAGCAAAATATCACCTTTAAAGGTGAAGTGTGTTTGCTTTAGTGGCATCTAACAATGAAGTTGGAGATTGCAGCCAACTGAATAGCCCTCCCTCACCCCTCCCTTTCCAAGCGTGTGGTAGAACCTAAGATGGCCATCATGTTTTTGCTTCTTTGACAATGAGGATTCAGTCTCCCTTATTTTTTCTTGTGCTAAATAAGAAGTATGGTCCTCCAAATGCCAACACAAAATGGTTAGCCAGCACTGGCAGCACCAACTGACTCTTCTTCTTTCTGCGTCTTCCAACTAGTGCTGTAGCGTCCCCAAACTCAATATGCCGCTTCAACGTGAAAACGCTAAAGGCACTCTCTAAAGCCAATTTTTGGTTTGTCTGTTCTGGGCTACTGTAGAAACACGGCAGTGCAACATGCCGGGGCAATATGCTGGAATAGGACCTGCTCCCTGTCTAGAAGGGCTCATTCTAAGCTAACCAAAACACAACGATTCATAGATACAGGTGATAGTACAATAATCGAAACATGGTTTTGTATACTGTATTACATTTCTGCCAATAGATCCTCCAAATCTTACACACTGCACCTTTAAGGTTTTTTTTTTTCTTCCACTTATTTTCTTGTTTTTGATAAATAGCCATCTTGTGTCTCAGATATGATAGAAGTGCTTTTCCAGTTCTTTTTCTGGCAATATCTAGTTCATTTTTTTAGTCCTGTGACTTAAACAAATCAATTCTGGTTGTATAAATGTTCTAGTTGTTAAACTGTATGGCTCAGATGATCCATTGTTTTTCTCCCATTAGGAGTACTCTTGTGAGTAAGGAGCCTGATAGCATGCTGGCCCACATGTTTAGAGAGAAGGGTAAGGTTCTTCATAAAGCAAACATGCACACTACATTTGCATGTTTTTCTTTGTCGCTCTCTTGTATACAATACAAAAGTATTAAACACATTTGATAAGAGTGTGTGAAAATATCAGTGTTCGTTCCCATACACACTCTTATCACTCCTCTGTCCTGTTTTATTCCTTATTCGTCGTGTTATAGATGTGTGGGGCAACAAGCAAGATGAGCGAGGAGCCTACCTCATCGACCGCAGTCCAGAGTACTTTGAGCCTATTCTGAACTACCTTCGACATGGGCAACTTATCGTTAATGAAGGAATCAACTTACTGGGTAAGTGTGTCATTTTACGTTGATTGTAGTGTTAATGGACAAGAATTTTGAAGAATCAGTTCAGATGAGTGGTGGAGCTTATGTCCTGCCACCATGACTCTCACTGAATGTAATCAGGTCTTCTGCAGCCTGTCCTACCAAGCTCATTCAGCTTCAGCAGAATTCCTGACTAAGGTTCAACTTCACAAAACCTAATAAATGCAGCCATGACAACATGTTTCTCTGTTAACCTAGGCTTAAAATACTTCACTCTGTGATTATTTCATGTGCACTTGCACATTAAAGTGTGACATTCACGTCAAACAGCCAGTCGCATGATGCAGATGGAAGAGTGGAGTGGCCTGTTTTTCGGAAAAAGAAAAAGAAATTATAGTACATACACTATATGGACAAAAGTATTGGGACACGCACACATTACACCCAAAGGAACTGTGATGACGTTGCATCTGTGAGTTTGTGTGGTCTGCCGCTTCGTGGCTGAGCTGTTGTTGCTCCTAGATGTTTCTATTTCACAGTAATAGCACTTACAGTTGAACTGGGCAGATCTAGCAGGACAGAAATTTCACACTGACTTGAGGTGGCTTCCTGTGACAGTGCCATGTTTAAAATCACTGAGCTCATCAGTACGACTTGTTCTACTGCCAGTGTTTGTAATTGAGATTGCAAGGCTATGTGCTCAATTTTATCCACCCAATGGGTGTGGCTGAAACACCTGAACTCAGTAATTATGAGGTGTGTCCCAATACTTTTGTCTATATAGTGTATGTCAAAAGTAATGTTCTTATAGGAAACTATAACACTGTTGCCACTGCTGCTGTGTTAGTGCTAACTGGAGTAATAATTTACTTTTACATTATTAATATTGATATGTTACGATTTGTTTCGTGTCATAATTTTCATGTGATTTACGTCTGAAAGTGGCCTGAAATGGACCTTAAGGGTCCACAGAAGGCTGCCGCAACATTGACAGAGGCCTGACGCTGACTTGTCCAAGAGCTGTTTACTGTCTGTAATCACGAACGTGCCTTAGAAGAGGTTTGGCATGCTGCACAAGTTGGTGATGTAGACGTGTAAAAAGTGGTCCTCTGCCGTGAGGATTAGACCGAACTAAATGTAAGGTTAGCTGGCTAAGCAAGAAATCCGGCTTGCAGGCTTGATCAGTTGGTTTTGTTGTGCTGGATGTCTCCTACGAGGCCACACATCAAAAATAAAATAATACCAAGTCTATTTGAAGAAAATGGAAGTCATTACTTTTGATTTGTATCTGATATTTCTAATCAAGTCTGTCAATTTCTAAACAAATGATGTTGCCTAGAATAGATTACTGTGAATCAACAAGCCAGATTGAAAATATCAACCTACTCTTTTGACCCCTTAACATTACACACTTCTATAACCTAAGAATAGCTCCATTAAACTACATTGTAGTTCCTGTAGTTACTGAATAATAAGCCTTTGTATGAAATAAACCTGATGTTAAGAGATTAATTGATTATATCATGCATGATTACAAAAGGTGTGGTTATGTAGGTCATATAATGGTGTAATAGCATGTTTAGGGTTCTGTGGGAGGCAAAAGTGACTTTATGTTCTAGTTTGGTTAATTATTTGTTTCTGTTTTTTCCAGGGGTCCTAGAAGAAGCGCGGTTCTTTGGAATTGAGCGACTTGCTGAACAGCTGGAAGTTGCCATTAAGGTAAGTAGTTTTAATATTGATGATGAACACCCCAGAGCATTCCTGTCTGTAGGTGTGTGATTTGTGTGATTTGCATTTACTTCTGCAGAACTCCCATCCTCCTGAGGATCACTCTCCCATCTCCCGAAAAGAGTTTGTGCGTTTTCTTCTCGCCACGCCCACCAAATCAGAGCTGCGCTGTCAGGTACAGGAAGTTACACAAGATCAAATGTAACAGTTTCATGGGGAATTGTGACCTCTGAACAGAATTGTTTTTTGTTGAAGACGACTTATTTATACTCCTTATTTACTGGTATCCTCACGCACACAGGGTCTGAATTTCAGTGGGGCGGACCTTTCTCGACTGGACCTGCGCTATATCAATTTCAAGATGGCTAACCTGAGCCGCTGCAATCTCAGCCAAGCAAACCTGTGCTGCTCGAACCTGGAGAGGGCCGACCTCTCTGGGGCAAACCTGGATGTATGTATCTTTCTTTACCTCAGCCTGAGCTACGTAGAAACTAGACCTCAAAAGCATCCAGCTTCTCTGGCTCTCTGGCTAAATGTTGTTTCATGTCCAGATTTCTTATTTGTCTCATATGTGCAGCCTGTACACGCGTGCTAACATCTATGAAGGCCAAACACTGCTGAATTTGGGTAAATGTTACAAGTTATATACACTATCAGTAGTAGATGGAAAGAGGCCCCTGAGACTGCAGTGTTGTGTAAGGTAGCTGAAGAAGGAAAGTGATACCAGAGGTGTGAGAGGAAACAGAAGCACATCAAGCGGACTTGTGTCTATAATAGGCTAATGGCTGTCGTTACCCCAAGAGATTACTTTCATATATCTTGATAATGTTCACTCCCTCTATAACAAATTGGATGAACTGTAACTCAGACTGCAGCTGACTACACTGCAGGAGATGAGGGTGACTGTTAAAATATCCAACACTCATCCATTCAGCTATATGGGATAACCGTAGCATGTTGTACACTGTATGTTGCATTATCTGCGCTTACTTGTAGCATATCGGCAAAAAGATTATGACAAAACTAAAATTTGAAGACGAATTTGAACCGGTATACTAGATCAACATTATGCAGGTGTAGCAGCAGGCATATTACCCACTGCTACGCTTGACCGTCCCTCACCATCAGGACGTTTAGGGTCTGTTTCCTCTGTTTTAATCTCTGTGGTTTTGTTTCAGGGTGCTAACTTGCAGGGTGTTAAGATGCTGTGCTCCAATGCTGAAGGTGCCTCACTGAAGGGCTGTAACTTCGAGGACCCATCTGGACTTAAAGCCAACCTGGAGGGTACAGATGTTTTTGTATTCTAGGGGAGTTTTACCAGTGGGTAAACAAAAATGTTTCTATACTTTCTCAGTGCTTCTGGAGCTGTGAGTCTTGGAATGTTTGCATAACGGAGGTGTTTTAAGCCAAACTGAGCTGTAAATCTTTTTCCGGTTCACCTCATTATGGGATAAATAACAAGCCCAATAATGCTCTTGATCAGTCCTGTAGAATTTGCATAAGATTGTGTTGGTAAAAGAGTGGTGTACTTGTTCTTTACATAGGCAGCGTATTCTAGTTTGACAGGACTGTCAATCACTGGTTGCCTACATGTGTAATGCTTGGGAACTAACAGAAAAAATGCTGTTTGAACATTAAAGGCTCTTTTCCTAAAGCATTGTAATGTCTAAACTGCTATGTGTGCGGCAGGTGCCAATCTGAAGGGGGTGGATATGGAGGGCAGTCAAATGACTGGTATAAACCTGCGCGTAGCTACATTGAAGAATGCCAAGCTGAAGAACTGCAACCTGCGAGGGGCCACATTAGCAGGGACTGATCTAGAGGTGAGAAAGCCACTGTTTTAAGCTATGGGGTTATTGTACAAAGTTGTGTATAAGGGTAGTCGATAAACAGAGAAATAGAACAAAATATAACATTATGGTACTTGAATACGTTTCTATCATGTACAATGTGTATCACAATGTTTATTTTTTTAAGTTTGTGAACAAATTAAAACAGTGCACCTGCAAAACAGCAGCAACAATGATCTACTTGTTACTACAAATACAAAACAATGTTATTGTTCAACCTTAGCAAAAAAAAAAGTATTAACGAAGGATCAGGGTGAAGCAACAAACAGTTGGTAACAGTGGCAGCAGGTTGACATTTAATAAGCTATTTGTTGCTATGCGGTGTATGTAGTTAGTATAACATTATTGTTTACAGGCTCACGTAGTTGTTCAGTGTTCTGGAAGTGCTGATGGTACTGTATGTCTTTACCGTATTGTCTGTATTTTCTTAAAGGGCCCCTACAGTCATATGCAAAACTGCTTGAACTGGCTGGCGTTGTTAATTTTCTAAGTAAAAGTTAACACATCCTGTGCAGCGAACATGGTATGGTATTTAAGTGCACAATTTCTGTTTATTTGCTGAGTTTAACATATTGGGGGAAAAAAATGTTTTATTTTTTTTTTCTCCCAATATGTTTAATTCAACAAATAAACAGTAATTATGCATTAAAATGTGCATTGTGTTCTCTGTAAAGGATATGTTACTTATTTTCACCAAATCAGCAAAACATGTAATTTTGACCAGGGTGTGCAAACTTTTGTCTACAACTGTATGTTCCCCTTGTTCCACTTTTTCTTCTGTCTCACTCCTAACATTTGTGTGGGTTCATGTACCATGAACATTTTCAGCCTTGTCCATATATGTAAATGCATTGGTTTGGTGACGTCACAGAAACAGTGAAGTCAAAATGGGCTTATTTTGAAGCTTAGTTATACAATTATACGTTTCAAATACATTCAGAATACATTTCAAAATGTTTATATACTACATAAAAGTCTTAAAACAAGTGAGGAAAGCTGGGCCCTTTAAGACCATATCACAGCATGTTGGCCAAAATATGTTTATGATGTTTGTGTCTTTCTCTTGTCAGAACTGTGACCTTTCGGGCTGTGACCTACAAGAAGCGAATCTGCGTGGCTCAAACGTGAAGGGAGCTATCTTTGAAGAGATGCTGACTCCACTGCACATGTCACAGAGTGTGAGATAACCACACCACATTACTCCGCGCTCTCACTTCCTTAGTAGCCAGCCTATTGCTGTACAATATGTCGTGTGATGCGCCCCTTTGGAACCAATATATGCAATATTGGCACCCCCCTCCCCTCAAAAAGAAACCTCCCCCCAAGCTTTACTCTCTTGCACTAGTGCACACCCAGGGTCTTTATTGGCGAAAGCCTCGTGTAGGATTCCAAATATGTAACTCTCCATCTTGACCATTTGTTATACCAAATGTATTTGTATTTGTATGTGTTTGTGTGTGTATTTATATTTATGTTGGATTTAATCCACAGGAGGTGGTTTCCCAGACACTAATTAAGCCCAGTCTTGAACTAAACTATGGTGTCATTTCTTATTCTCTAATCAAAATCCCTTTTAGTCTCCACCTCGGCTTAAACTGTATCTAGGAAACCGACTGTAAGTGTTAGAAGTTTGATTTTTAGTGAATGTATACCTTTTTTCCATGTGTTGTGGAAGTACGTAAATTTAGTAATATTGAAACAACCAAATATCTATTGCATTTTAGTTGTAGAAAGTGCATATATGTGATATGCAGGTTTCTCTATAGCTGCGTTCAGACTGCAGGAAAAAGTGGTCCAGATCCAAATCTGATTTTGCTGTTTACAATTTAAAAGGGAATTCCACCCATTTTTGAAAATTTCTGCATAATTTAGTGCAGAGATGTTAATACATTCATTCAGAGGGGTTTGACATTTGTCTGATTCTCACTCCTGAACTGACCTGCATGTGCAATAGAACACTGATCCACCCAACATGCTCATCCAAACACCGCTGTCCGAACTTTGTTTAAGATTAAAAGATTCCTTTTATGTGACACTGAACTTCAGCATGTGCAAACCAATACTTTACACTTGGAGGGCAAACAGAATACATTTGAACAAAGTTTACAGAAAAGAGTAAACGTTGTTCATTTCCCTGCTAGTTTTAAAGAGGAATTCCACCCATTTTTCAAAATTTCTGCATACTCAGTGGCAGAGATGTAAATAAATTCATTCAGAGTGGTTTGATGTGAAATTCTCAATTGTAGAGAAACTTGCAGACTGGATTTCTTTGCAGTGGTGGTGATAGGAACCAGAGGTTGCAATGTTTACAACACAAATACAGCGATTTTATTTACTGTCTAAAATCTCCACTGAACCTACACCCACAGTTTTTTTAAGTGTAGTGTTGATGATGGTAAAATAGTGGTACAACTGTAATTCTGTGGGGATTAATTTGCCCTATAACTCCCTGCATATACCCCTCCACCATGAATGGATTGTTAATGGATATGTTAATGTTAAAACAATGTATCAGGCATCAATGTATTTATAACTATTTAATGTAATAACTTTCTGTGAGTAAGTTTTTAAAGGCATTAAACTCTTCAGACAGTTCCCATCACCACGACTATGAACAATTCTGACTTGATAAGTTTCTCTAGAACAGATCATTTCACACCAAAACATTCAGAATGACTTTACATCTTAACTGTTTAATTCTGCAGAAATTTAGCAAAATTGGTGAAATTCCTCTTTAATTGTGGAAGCCAACCAAACAGAGATATGAAGCTCAATTCTTTCATGTATATATATTTTGGAGACTTGATCTGTGTGAGCCTCCTTTGACTCTTTTCTAAATGTCCTTGAAGTAAAGCTGAATAGCTGTTAGTTTGTTTTCTTGTTAGAATGTGCTAAGTTTATTTGTTTGTGCTGCCCTCGCTTGTCTCGCTCCTCCAAATTGAAATAAGATATGAAGCATAACCACAGTAATGCATTTTAATGAAGTTTTCATAAAGGGTCTGTTCCCATGCACGCAAAATTGTGATGAAAATTCAGTTGGATTTACGTTAAAGTTGCATTAGTTCCAGTCCAGTTCCAGTTCAGTCACATTGAGGTCACGTTGCTGCATGTGGGATTTCAGTTCCACATATAAAAGTTTGCTTAAATCTGAACTGAAACTGCCAGATTCAGCAGCCCTTATTTATCAAAGTTGTGTGTGGTCAAATCATAAAATGACCGCCCACCAATTACACTCACAGATTTGTTATTCATCATCTTTGGCGTATCTGTATGATTAAGCTCAAGTCTAGTAGGTGTATTATCTGTGATGCCAGTAATAAGCATGAAAAAGAAAAAAACAATAATACTTATAATTTGTGCAGCATAACGTGGATGTACTTAATTTACATGCACATTGATATAAACAAAAAAAAAACAATATAAAACACAGCTAGTGCAGAAGCATCTCATACACTGCAATAATACAGCATTTAAAATGTTATTTCAGTTAAGTAATCTACACTACACAGTCATATCATTCTACCATCTTAAGACAAACTAAGACGATTTGTTTATTTCACATTTTATTCTTTCTAGTCATCATAGTTTTAAGACCATAAAGTTTGGTCAGTAGCCCAAACTCCGCCAAAGAGCACCGCCTTCGGTGAGCCACTAAATGCTGTTGTTTTATTGCATAAATTAGAGCGTGCTTTGTGTAAATGAGACTTTGGTAGGCTGGCGCTTGCTTTCACGCACTGAAGCTGGTTCATCATTTGCACTCAGAGTAGAGTAGTTCGTACATCATCAGAGGTGGCCAAATCTGCTCTCTTTTTTTCTCATGGACTTGAATAAGCGTCAGTGGGTTTTTTGCTGTTGATACTGCCACACAAAAGACAAATCTGTGTCACATATGAAGAAAAAGATTGGACGTGGGCCACTTTTACCTGCAGTGGGAATGTAACGTATAAGTCTCTGGCTTTAAAAAGCTCTCTTGCGTAGTTTGAACAGTAGCCTTGCTGTACCAGTACATATAGATCGGAGCATTGAGTTTGTGGTTTGCCAGTGACTGGCAGTTAATGCATTAGCATTTCAGAGTTCTGGAATATTTTAGGAGTTTAAGACTCTGAAACTGGTGAAATGTTGAAGTTAGGCAGAGCAGCCTTTTCTGAGGCTTTTCTGCAGTTAGGCAGAGTGATTTGCTTGATTTTCAAGGGCACGTCAGGTTCAATTTGAAGCCATATTATATCGTGCATATGAAAGAAAAGGGTGATGGATTCCATAACCTCATATTTCTATTTCAATTTCTAGGTTAGGCATACAATTAAATATGCAATATAAATGTATTAGTGCCCTCTGTTTTTGACGTTTCTGTTGTGCAAATGCAAATGACAGCAGTTTGTATCACTTTTATTTGCTGGTTTGTTCCAAATCTACCTCCCACTTAGGATACTGACCGTGGGGTTTTGTTTGTTTGGTTGGGTTTTTTTGGCCATTGTCAGTGCTGTTCTCTTGGATTCTCATGCGAAGGCTTGTGTTGACTGTGAATGAATAGAAGCTAGGATGTTGAATGAAAGATAAATTACCAAATTGCTGTTGTATTTTTGAGTTATGCATACCCAGTGGCTGTCAGCTCGAGGTATAATGATACTAACCTATAAATTAATATGCAGAACAGTTCACCAGTAGCAAGAACACGCCTTTTTGAATGATCATTTGTGCCATTGTGTGGCTGTTTCTCGCCAGATGTTTCATAATCCCTTTTTTTTTTTGCCATTATTAGTAGTGTAACTACTAATAAAAATTGTCTTTGTTCACACAACACCAAAAAGCTTTGAATGGGGTGCTTATCTGTCAGATATAGTGCTTCCCTCAGCGTAATCACATAGAACGGTTCTTTGCTGATTTGACAGGCCTGAAATCATTGTCACTGACAGCATTAGCATCAAGTCTTGGTCACCCATATGACCACTTAGCACTTATGTATATTGTTCATACATTGTCTGTAAGCCTATTACAATAATAAGTTTGTGTAGTGTTTGCTCCTTACATACTGCCCTGCAGTTCATGTATTGCTTTCAGTGTTAATATTAGTCCCGTGTGGCCAGACCTGATCTTGAAATGAGAATGCATGTCTGGAGACACTTGTTAAACTTTTGCACACAAATTACCTGCAGACAAGGGTACGCTCCCTCTAAACCCACCCAGATTTCTCTTGTCTGTGGTCTATAACACAAGCAAAACAAGTTAGCTAGCTAAACTGTTTTTCCTTTGCAGGGGTTCATCTTCATTTTTACTGTGTGTAATGTGTTCTTCACACATGCTTATTTGGAGTTCATTTTAATTTAAACCATTAGCCTTCTGTGTTTGCACACTGTGGAATTAGACCTCTGTATTTAACCCATCCGTGCAGTGAAACACCCACATGCATGCACACTAGGGAACACACAAACACTAGGGGGCAGTGAGCACACTTGCCCGGAGCGGTGGGCAGCCCTATCCACGGCGCCCGGGGAGCAACTGGGGCTTAGGTACCTCGCTCAAGGGCACTTTAGTCATGGACTGTCAGCCGAGAGGATCGAACCAGCAACCTTCTGGTCACAGGGCTGGTTCCCTAACCTCCAGTCCCCGACTGCCCCTAATTTGGGGGACCTGTATGTTCTGCTAACTTATGTTACATCCACGTTACATCCATCCACAAAATTAGCAAATCTCTTCTTTGTTTGAGTTTGTTTCCACCCTAATAAGTCTACATTCCCCAAGTTTGTAATAGTTGTCCCCAAATGTTCTCGTTACGAGATCATGTCTGGCCCCTGTGCGAGTGTGAATATCAGCTGGATTATTGCTGTGTGGTTAAAACTCAGTCAGACCTGTTTTCTGGCAATAGCTTAAAGTTAATGGGATTCAATATGCTGTTATTTCTCTTATGTATGTAATCGTAGGTACTCCTGTTGAATGAAGGCAATCAAAGCAGACTTTTGCACTTTAAGTGTGAGTCTAAATTTACTGGACCCTTAACGAAAGGGCACAGGCTATTTATGTATGTATGTTATGTATGTTATGTATGTATGTATGTAATCAGGCTATATTTATGGCAGGTGGAAGAGAGGAGATGTCCTCTTCTTTCACCTCACTGTCTTGCACTCACTATTACGGAAGTGTATTTCCATAAACAGACTGTTATAATCAAACTTTTCTCGTGTCTTCATTTTTCCCCCTTTGTTTTTGTTTTTTTTTTTTAATTTTTGGTCTTTAATCTTGCTGTTTGAGTGAACAGTCCAACTCTGCATGAGTGACGCTCACAACGAATCATTTGAACTGCTCCATTAAAATGAATCAATTATTCTAATCTGATATTTTTCACATGATAAACGCCACAAGCGTTACAAAGAAAGTGGAACTTCAGTTGGGATTCTGCCTCTGACTGGTCAGAAAGTGTCATTGAATGGCCCAAGAGCTGTTTATGATCCCAAATTCCCAGCTAAAAGGGGAATAATTCAGTCTTTGAGATGTAAACAAAGACATTCCGAGTTATTTGATGTGAAATGGTTCATCGTCGAGAAACTGCCTCAGATTTCTTTAGTGGTGATGATTGAAACCAGGAGTCACAGCACAAGCTTTCAGAGGCATTAAACTCTTCAGACGTCTGGTTCCTATCATCACCACTGTGAACAATTCTGACTTGATACGTTTAATTATGCAGTAAAAGTAGACAAATCAGTGGAATTCCTTTTTAACCTGCCCAGAGCAGGTGAGACATGTTGCTGTGTCGATATAGTCCAGTAAAAATTATCCACCGTCAGGAGACGAAAGATTGATGGTTGAATTAAACTAAAATTAGCTGGCTAAGCAAGAAATCCTGCATCATGAGACGGAGGTCATGCAGGCTGATGGTATCAGGGATGTTTGTATATTTGGTGTGAACTCCTGGCTTGGTTAAAAGCAAAATATGTTCAGTTTCACTTCTATGCAGATACTAGATCCCCTTTATAAGTTTAGAATGTATAAACTTCTAAAGGCTGGTTGTTCACATCATTCAACTGCTGTTTAGAATTCATCCTAAAAAGTGGAAGGTAAAATGCCAGAAAGGTTTTAAGGTGTAAAGTTGAATAGTAAATGTCTCTCTTTCACAAACACTTTCCCAAATGATAGACATAAAAAAGATGAAATTCTATTTTAAATGTCAGCACTTCATCAGTTATTTACAAAAATATCTTGAATCTCCAAAATGGTAACTTTACAGAAGGAAAAAACTTTACTTACGTTCTTCATTGTAACACAATAAACGATAACTGGAATTGTCAAATTATGCCAAAAAAAACAAAAAAAAATGAAGATAGAAGGTTTTTGCTTGACTGCCATTCTGCAGAAGAAGCAGAGTCACAAGATATTGTGGAGTTAACAGTTACAAGGTATTGTACTGTATACAAACAAAAATTACAATTATTTACTTATTTTATTTCTTCATATTTTATAACACAGAAGTCTAATCTTACCATAGGTGCTCTCCAGAGCTGGTGTTTGGTTTGTCCGCTCTGGGCTACTATAGAAACATGACAGCATAACATGGCTGTTGGAAGAGGACCCACTCCCTGTAGATTTTAAGGGCTCATTCTAAGTCAATGAAAACAACAATTTATAGTTAAGGTGATAATACACAAATGAAAACATACTTTATTCCATTTCCGCCAATAGATCCCCCCCAAATCTTACACATTGCACCTTTAAACGCTCAGAATCAGCTCCAGCTTGCTTGGAATGAAAGTTTGTAGTCACACCAGCTCTGCAGATGAAATTGCACACTCCTGTTTTAGATGGTGAAACAAACTATAGACCGAAGTGCATAGAAAGTAAGCTATTTTCACTTTCAATGTAGAAATTAAAACACCAACATAGGCCATAGAATTGTTTTGTACTCTCATCCTGATATCTTGAAATCGATAAAAATAAGGCAAAAGAAATTTAAAACTATTTGCAAAGACGTAGCAGAAATAGTAGTGTTATATTCGAAAGCCTGACGTAACGGCACTCCTGGTTCATCGATCAGTACAATCCATCCCTGTTTAAATCTCCTCATTCACACATGGGAGCACTTTAAAAACTTCAACATTTGCCTTCTATGAGTAATCTCTTAAAATGCTCAGTGGGAAGTGTCTGAAAGGTGCTTACTTTCGTCATCCTTTCATTCTGCTCTTAGCCCCCTGCAGTGAGGGGCTGGAGAAATGATTGCGTGAGACGAGCAAGAGCGCTATAAGAACACTAATGCTGAGAGCAGGAGTGGCCAAACCCTGAAACCAGAACTGTGAAGAGAAGCGGGACCTCTTTCACAGGTCAGTTAAAGGTAAGTCAGATCCAATTATGTGTCCTTGTGTTGGCAAACTTAGAGCTGTGGTTCTCAAAACAGTCCTCAGTGCTTCTGGATGTTCTAAGGTTCTGATCAGAATATCAGAAAACCTGATAAAGGCTTGAGAACGAATGCCTTAGAGCAATATTCAAAGAGCTTACACTGCTTTTGTTGGACAATTCTGATCCTAAATTTTAAAGACTTTTATTTTAAAAGGGGTATAGGTTTAATTTGAAAAGCTGTATTTTCTAACGTCCAAATTTATGTTGGAAAGCCACACTTTCCCTTGATATCCCTCATGGTGTCAAGGCTTTTATGTTGAAAAGCCTTATTTATCCCTAATCTGCGAGTACTGAGATTTTTATTTTGGAAAGCTACAGTTTCTATGATATTTGAGCACCTTTTAAAAATGCATATTTAGCACAACGGAGTGGTTGTCTGTTCTTCTTTTCAGGATGAAGGTGAGCAGTGCTCTCTTGTGGATGATGGTTTGTGTTGTGGTGCTGCAGGTGCACTGTCAGCACTGGTCATATGGCCTGAGCCCTGGAGGCAGACGTGCAGCGGAGAGCCTGATGGGCACTTTGCAGGCGGTAAGGCCTACAGGTTTAGGTAACAGGCGTGTACCATCCTTTATTATTTGTTTATAGTGGCCTTACCATTATTTACAGAGCACTTTTCATACTGGTAGCAGCTCAAAGTGCTTTACATACAGGTGATAAAGTTTAACAGTAACAGAAGAAACTATGAGAATTCATTTAAAATCAAATCAAATCAAAATTTATAAGACTTGACACAGAATTTTAATTAAATGTAGATTTTAATGAAACGCTCAGTTAAAGGTATAGGTTTTCACATGTTTCTTAAAAGTGCGCACTGGGCTTGATGGTCTAATGAAAGGTGGGATTGAGATCCACAGTTTGGAGCCAACAAAACCGAAAGAGCCTCTCCACGTTTTTATTTTACAGAGGGCTTTTGCAGAAGGCCAGTATCTGTAGATCTAAGATCACATGTTGGAACATAAGCAGTTGTAAGCAGTTGATGGCTCATTTAGAGTCTTAAAGGTGCAGTATGTAAACTTTAGGCTGACCTAAATGCAATGGAACATAGTACAAAAAAATCATGTTTTTATTAGTGTATAATATGTAACATCGTAGAAAATTGAGCAAGTTTATATATTTACAAATATGCTGTGTCATATTATAAAGTTTTTCTGAGGTAAGTTTATCCTTTGCATCCTTTCAGTTGCTAGGCTATGAAGGACCAACAGCGTGAACCATTTTGCTACAGCGCCACCCTGAGGCAGACCAGTGCTGCATCTCTAGTTAGTTCAAAATACCAAAGACAGAAGCTTGCAGAGGGTTTGTGGGTGAAGCAGCTAAACAATGACCTTTACCTGAATTTCTATTTGGGTGTCTGTTTTTCCCTAATGGACAGCAAACCCCCCCGACTTTTGATTTTGGGATATTTAGGGGGTCCAAGAGGTTACTAGGGAGGTTCCTGACCCCCTAGGACCCCTGAATTTTCGCACCTTGGTTGCTCCTCCATATTTCTACAGTAGCCCAGAACAGACAAACCAATCACTGGCTTTGAAGAGTGTCTTTTGTGTTTTTATGTTGAATTTGGTGGCGCTATAGCACTGATTGGAAGACGTAGAAAGAAGAAGAGTCAGTGGTTGCTGCCAGTGCTGGCTAACTATTTTGTGTTGTGAGAAGTTTGAGAACCCAAATTGACAAATGGAGGTTTGTACTTATTATTTAGCACAAGAAAACGCAAGAGAGGCTGAATCTTCGTCAGAAAAGAAGCGAAAACCTGACCGTCACCGTCATTTGGTTGTAATCTGCAACCTCGTTGTTAGATGTCACTAAATCTTACACACTGCACCTTTAAAAACTTTAAAATCTACACTCTTAAAAGTGATGTCTCTTTAAGGGTCCTTTAGCAAAGAAAATGGTTCTGTGTGGAACCATGACCACTCAAAGGACTCAGATTGATGGAGAATTGTACTGTAGATGTATTTAGAAACTTTTTGAAAAGGGTTCTATATAGCACCATAAAAGATTCTTCTGTTGTTACGACGTCAAGCCTGTAACAATAGAAGAACCCCTTTTGGTGCTGTATAGAACCCTTTTCTAAATTTTTCAGAGAATCTTTTAATCATGGATCTATACAGAACCATCTTCTTTACTAAAGATCCCTTGAATAATGATAGCGGCAGCCAGTGCAATAATTTCAAAAGAGGAGTCTAAGATCACACCCAGGTTTGCCAGCTTATCAGTATACACATACATACATATTATTACATATATATATATAATATATATATATATATACATATATATATATATATATATATATATATATTCTCTGATAAGCTGGCAAACTGTTCTTTATATTATATTCCTCAGGCTGAAGATCTCCCAAGAAAGGGCCCGACAAGCTACGTGTGCGATTATGTGGATTTGTCCCCTCATAATAAACTGTCCAAACTAAAAGAACTGTTGGTGAGTGCAGCATTATTTTCTTTTTCTTTTTTGATAAAACAACCTGAATTCATTAATAAGAATCAACAATTCATAAATGGTCCAGTTGTAATGAAACAAAGATTCAAGTATGTTTTCTGCCTTCTTTACAGGACAGTCTTGCTGACAGCGAAAGCTGAAAGTGACAGCGCAGGACCTGACCGAGACACTTAATAAAACACTGTGCCTTCAGTTTGTCTCACATGTGTGTCTTTAATGACCAAAGTGTCTTGATTGAACAAATGAACAAATAAAAATAGCAGCTTTAAAGCTTTATATCGTCGCTGTCGTGCAAAAACCTTATACTGCCCTTCTGTTGTTTTGGTTTGTTTTTTTTTTGCACAATTTGAAAACTGTAGTCACCCTCTGTGTTGTGTTAATATTTCATCTTATCAGACTAATAGAAATGGTGCAGAATTATTTGTTAGGAAATCTTGTCACATTAACTTTCATTACAAGTTAATCATTTTTTTTTATTTCCCCTGTAAAATTACCATTTTGGAGATATGTTTTGTTCTAGCATGATACAGACTTTATAAGGTCTGCTTTGGTAACACTTTAGATTCACTGTAAATGCCTGTAAATGCTCACCACCTCTTTAAATTCAGCTAAGTCACTACAAAATGCAGCCAAACATTAAGCTGAAATGATAGATTATATTAAGTCTTACTGACCTTAACTTAAACCACAAAGCTAAACCTAAACATAAAACATAACCTGTAGTTTTTTCAAGCAACGTGGTATTATACAAATAGATAACCTGTAGGGGGCAGTATATCTGTTTCAAAATAGTGCATTTGATTGACTGTTGGTGACTAAATGATTTATTTAGAAAAGTTTGTTTTTTTTAAATGGAATATTCATGATAATAAGACTACAATTTTATAGAAGTATTGTTTTACTGATAGCGGTGTTACCTTTATTATGAAAAGCTATGTTTTCTATGATATCCCCGTGGCAGGACTTAAGTTGTGAAAAGCCAGGCGTCACCTGATAGCCGAGTGGTGCAACGTTTATTTTGGAAAGCCGTGTTTTCCTCGTTTCGGGAGTGGAGAGACTTATATTTTGAAAACCCATATTTTCCTCGTTATCAGCGTGGAGAGGCGTTTATTTTGGAAAGCCGTAGCGCAGTTTACTCACGCCGTCCACTCTGAACGAGTTTGTGCATTCGTGTTATTCAGCGTGGAGAGGCTCTTATTTTGAAAACCCATATTTTCCTTGTTGTCAGAGTGGATAGGCTTTTATTTTGGAGAGCCGCGCGCTCACGCTGTCCACTCTGAGTGAGTTTGTTTATTCCTGTCAGAGATATTTTCTTCTGAACGACGTGTTTCTAGTTGAACCCTCGGACCTGTCCAGCCGGTGGAGTTCAGCTCGTTATCGGACTGAGCGCATCTGCAGTGCTCGATATTTCAGTTATACCAGCCGGTTAAAGCTGCTCTAACGGCAGTCTGCTGCTGAGTCAACATCACGCTGGAGATCAGTGAGTTATAAATATGTTTCTAATAGAAACGTGTTGCAAGTAAACCCGCAAAACTGAAGTGAAATAAAAGGCATATTATTAACGGTTAAGTTTAAACATTCAGAGTGGTTTGGTGTGAAATGCTCCACTCTGGAGAATCCTGTTGTTCACAGTGATGGAGAAACCTAAAGTGTTTAATGCTGCACAGATTTCTAATTATTACATGAAAACAGTACTGAAATGTTGCCTGGTGACTAAGACATGCTTTACGATCTCTCTGAGATAAAGTTTTGGCCTCAAATATACCTTTAATTTTATGAGCTCCACTTACTAACTATATAGGTGCACCTTGTAGTTCTACAGTTACAGACTGTAGTCCATCTGTTTCTCTGCATACTTTGTTAGCCCGCCTTTTACCCTGTTCTTCAGTGGTCAGGACCCCCCCATGGACCCTCACAGAGCAGGTACTATTTGGGTGGTGGATCATTCTCAGCACTGCAGTAACACTGACGTGGTGGTGGTGTGTTAGTGTGTGTTGCGCTGGTACGAGTTGATCACTGGTTTTTAAACACCTCAGTGTCACTGCTGGACTGAGAATAGTTCATCAACCAAAAATATCCAGCCAACAGCGTCCTGTGACCACTGATGAAGGACTAGAGGATGACCAGCACAAACTGCAGCAGCAGATGAGCTATCGTCTCTGACTTTACATCTACAAGGTGGACTGACAAGGTAGGAGTGTCTAATAGAGTGGACAGTGAGTGTTTAAAAACTCCAGCAGCACTGCTGTGTCTGATCCACTCGCACCAGCGCAGCACACACTAACACGCCACCACCACGTCTGTGTCACTGCAGTGCTGAGAATGATCCACCACCCAAATAACACCTGCTCTGTGAGGGTCCATGGGGGTCCTGACCACTGAAGAACAGGGTAAAAGGGGGCTAACAAAGTATGCAGAGAAACAGATGGACTACAGTCTGTAACTGTAGAACTACGAAGTGCCTTTATATGTTAAATGGAGCTTATATGTATTTTCTGTGTACCATGGCGGAAGAATAGATGTACCACTATTTCACCATTATCAGCTTTACACATACAAACTCAGAAGACATTTGTAGGTTAACTGATTAGTAAATATAATGGCTGTTTGCATTGTAGACATTGTAGCACCAGGTTCCTATCACCACAACAGCAAAGAAGTCGGAGTGTGTAAATCTCTCTACAGTGGCACATTTCAGATCAGATCAAACACTGATCTTGTTTACATTAACAATTGAATTAATTGGACTAAAAAAAATAATCTACAATCTAATAACCTAATTTAACTGTAGCTGTTGCCCTCCAGAACCATTGAGTGTTGCAGAAAGACCATACTTGTTGGTTGCATGTGCTGCAACCCAAGACCTGAATGCACGGCATGCTAAAGCTCTATAATGCACATTCTTGCATCGTCCTTGTTCTAATGTAACTGGTTATACCCAGAGGATTTGATCAGTCAATGCGAGTAGAGCAAGGTAAACACAAAATATGCAGTGCATGTGACTCCAGGGGCTGAAAAGACTGCAGCACTACCTTTTGGACATTTTCAGTAACAGCAAGTGTGCACTGCAGATAACTGTTTGGAGATCATCGGCCGATGCCCTTGCGTCTACTGTTGGCGAGGAAGCTAGCTGGGTTCTGCATGTATGCTGCTGTATGGAGGGTAGAACTATATTCTTGACCCCAGCATGGACTCCCATGGCAAGCAGTGCTCCTGCAGTGCCCACCACTCCACCCCAAGCGTCCATCAGACCCTTGACGAGATGGACTTTGAGAGAGGTGATGTGTAACACTTACCGTACATCTTATGCAAGTTATAATCTGCTGTATAAACGCACATTCATATATACTCTCCTGTTTTACAGGTATATGGTCAGCAGCTATGGACGGCGACTTGGAGAGGGTCAAGTCCTTGTTAAGAAAGGGAACTGATCCAAATATCAAAGACCAGGCCAGCTACACTGCTTTGGTCAGCAGGAACCCCCACTGAGCATTGCATGATTATGAAACATTGCCAGTCAGCTTTAAGCTGTTAGAATAAGAACTGACCTGTCAATAAACCATCAATACTCTGCGTTTTATATTACAGCACTACTCCAGTCGAGCAGGTCACAGGTCAGTGTGTGAGCTCCTCCTGGACCACGGGGCCTGTGCTAACTCCCAAACCCGTGGTGGGGCCACTCCCCTGCACAGAGCGGCCTACTGTGGCCACCTTGCCATCGTACAGCTGCTGCTGACCCATGGAGCTAACACCCGACTAACTGATGATGATGGATCAACGGCGCTGCATAAGGTAAACAGTCAACTACTAAGGCTGTACAAAACAGTAAGGGTGTAAATCTCTGACAACAATGAATTCTTTATGAAACAACTGAATACATCTCAATCTCACTTTTTAATTTGATTATTTAGGTGGAATTCAGAATTATATTTAAAAAAAACACTGAATACGCAGATGTAAATGAACTGTTTGCACAGGCCTTAAGATGTTGGCCAAAAAACTAGAACATTATTATTTATCAGTTTTAAAATCCCTGTCATCACCACGTCATGCATTTTTGCACCCCTACAAGATGCTATATTAATACACTTTTACATTCTTATAAATATCCAATGGCCTGTAACAGCTGAAAGATATTTTACCACATTGTTATATTTATATATTCTTCCCAGAAAGTTTTACAGTGCATTCTTTGAGAAAGGCCACAAAAGAGCCACTTTTGGTTCCCTAAAGAACCATGTTTGATTAACAGATCTGTGTGTGTGAAGAACTTTTTAAAGGGCCTTCACATTATATAAAGGTTCTATGCCAGGGGTGTCCAGTCGTATCCTCAACAGGCCGGTATGGCTGCAGGTTTTCAGTCCAACAAAGCAGAAGCACACATTGTCACAGGCATGTCAAACTGGGGACCTTCTGGGCCAAAGTGCTGTGGAGATTAGCGTTTACCCTCATCTATCAGTCTGAATTCAGTTCAGTAAGAAGGCCTTGCTAATTAGCTGATGAGCTGAATCAGGTGTGTTTAATGAGGCAGAGTGCTGAAGTCTGCAGTGTTTTGGCCTGCGAGGACTGGATCCTGACGCATGTGCATTATCAGTTGTCGAAGACAGACTGATTAAATAAAGTGGAATCAGGTGACCTCCTGCTTGTTCGCAATGAAATCCGCAAGGGGCCAGTGTGGCTGTAGGTTAAGACTGGACATTCCTGTTGTATACTAATTGTTAGACTTCTTGCCTCTCTTAAATAATAAAGATGCGAGAACGGGTTCTTTGTACAAAGACAAAAAGAGAAAACATTGTTATTGTAATACCTGGGAGAGAGTTCTGGGGTGAATCAAGTGTTTCACAGAAGCTGTATAAAACCTTGTTCATGGGATGGTATAGAAAATTCAGACTCCTAAATTGGCAAAGTCAGTGACTTGGCAAGAATTGTTTGTGCATTCAGCTCTGCCTACATGAAGCTGCCAGCAGATGACGCCACTGACCACTGTGTGTTTCTCTGAAGTGCTGGGTATGCTGTTTTTTTCCAATAGGCAGTTTCCTGACCATTAATGGACTTGCATATATACAGATATGAATACCATAAAGCTTGCTGTGTAGATTCCAAACTATGCTATTATAGACAAAATAATCTTGATTTCCCTAAAGGTTTTAACATAATATGAAAGTTCTAAGAAGGACAACTACACTGGTAAACAACCTTTATATTATGTGGAAGTTCTTTAAGCCTTTTTCTTGACACTTTTTTTCAAACGTGGTTCTTTAGGGAACCAAAAGTGGTTCTTCTACAGCACATGTCAGGATCCAGTCCTCACAGGCCAAAACACTGCAGACTTCAGCACGGTGCCTCATTAAACACACCTGATTCAGCTCATCAGCTAATTAACAAGGCCTTTAGGAACTGAGTTCAGTGTTAGATGAGGGTAAACGCTAATCTGCACAGCACTTTGGTCCAGATGGTCCCCAGTTTGACATGCCTGTTTTATAGCATTGATCAAAGAACACTTTTCTAAAACTGTGTAGAACACTTCTATAATGTAGATGTTCTTTAAACATTAAAACTTTGAAAAGATTTTGAAAGATTTTGGTGGAGGCCCACTGTCCCGCTTATTCTAGAGCTTTATTTCTGCTGTAACACACCCACTTTAACTAAATAATGTGCTGTTAATGAGCTGCTTGGTTGGATCAGGTGTGTTGGGAGCAGGGAAAACACAGAGCAGTGGGCCTCCAAGACCAGGGTTGAGACACACTGCTCTATGGCAGTAGTCACCAACCCTCCTCCTTCTGCTTTCCTGCAACATGCCACACTCCTTGCCTGACACTAATGTAGCTGATCCAGCCAATCAAGGACTTCTGAAGAAGTTAATTAGCTGGAGCAGGTGTCGCAGGTGGTGGTTAGAACGAACATCTGCAGGAAGGTAGCTCTCCAGGGCTAGGGTTGGTGACCACTGCTGTATTGTATTGCATGCAGAACCCAAAGAGTGCATTTGAACATCTCTTTGTCCACTTTTCTACAGGCAGCTGAGCAGGGCCACCTGGAGGTGTGTGAATTGTTGGTGAGCAGCTGTCCCATCTTGAGAACCGTGAAGGATAGGAGATTACGCTTACCTGTAGATCTGTGTCCAGAGAACAGCGCTTTACTGGAGCTGCTAAACCCTCAATGACCTGCTCTGCTTGCCAAAAAGAGAGACTTGGAGGAGAAGGAGTTTCAAGCAAGCTGTAGAACTCACTTAAGGTTCAGGCTGGAAATGATCTCAGGAAGTCCACTCATGCTCCTGTCCACTCAAGGGAGTAAATAAAACTTTTACACCCCTGTAGGGTCTTGACTGAGTTTCCTGATAATAATAATAATTGGGAGAGAGCTGTGTAGTGAATGTGTTTCCCAGAAGCTGTATAAAACTACACTCATGGGTTGGTGTAGAAAGATCAGACCCACAAATTCGCTAAATCAGTGACAGTATGAATTTTTTGTGCATTCAGCTATGCCTACATGAAGCTGCCAGCAGATGGTGCCACTGACCACTCTGTGCTTTTATGAAGTTCTCAATATGCGGTTTCTTCTGTTACGCAGTTTCCTGACCATTAATGGACTTGTGTATGTTTCTGTATACATGCCGTACAGCTTGTCCTGTAGATACCAAACAGAATTTAAGCCATTATGAACAAAATCATGATTTACCTAAAGCGTTTGTGCACTTTTAACATCTGACTGGAAGAGAGGAACGGCATCTCCAGACTCAGTATATTTCCTTTAATATCTACAATGCTGGTGCAGTATGTCATTTTGTTCAGAGTTTCTATGGCATGTCTGGGGAAAAGATATAAAGACTTGTCCAAATGAATGTCTGGGCTTCGACTCTTCGCTTCAGATGTAACTGTGTTACATGGAAAAATGAATCAATCATGACAGGCATGACAGAATTTTCTTCTTGAAATGGATACAGTTGTGGTTGGAAGTCACACAGCAGGATTTGTAGTTTGATTAATTTATCGTTTTGGTACTGCTGGCAGCTTTCTTTAGTGAGGAAGTTTAAAAATGAGAAAAAAAAGACAACCAAAAAAAAGCTCAGTAATCCCCAGATTTTTTTGACCAGTATAATTATGGACCTGAGATGTGGTTTTGTTTGTATCATTGTTGTTAAAATTTGTGATTTCATTCACACTTATCTAGTTCATCCACCTGTCCTGCATCATTTGATTGATATGGGATACATTAGCCATTATTCATAAGTTGTGTCAAATCTAAGAATTAAAATGAGCACACGCAATTTTCGCTGACTACAGGGCCCCTAAGGTGACATGGTGATTATTTTTTAATACGCTGTGGGCACAAATTAATATATTGTGGCCACAGTTTACTAAATTGAGGCCACAAGTCATCAGAAACTTAACCTATAGAGTAATTTATGACCAATAAGTTTTTAATAGCCTCACCATATTAAAAAATAATCACCATGTCACTTTAGTGGCTTCGTATTCAACAGTTTTGTGAATCATCAGTTTCATCTTTGACGTATCTGTATAATCTAACTCATGTCTGATAGGAATGTGTAACAAACAACCTGAAAAAATGCCTGCTAACGGTTAACTAACCTAAACTATATTAATAACCATCTATAAAACCAGCAATTTAAAAACTAAAAATCAAAAATAACAATCGTTTGTGCTTAGCAATCCAGTACAAAACTGGATGTACTTATTTTACATGCACACTAGTATCAACAAATATACCTCATTTCATTTAAAGACATTTTACACTGTTTTGTACTTCTGACACCTGACAAAAATAAACACTACAAAACACAGCTAGTGCAGAAGTATCTCATATACTGCACAATCGCATCATTCTGCATTCTTTAAAAACTAAGAATTTTTGCATAATTTCACACTTTATTCCTTCCAGTCGTTGTAGTTTCAACACTATAAAGTTTGGTCAGTAGGGGGGGCTGTGCACTCACTGCTTCACCTCAAACTCCGCCTACAAGCACAGCCATTGGTTTGTAAGTTGCTAAAAGTGGACTTGTTATTGGCTCCCTACCGAAACCTCTGTGTGAATTAAGTTGTGCTTCATGTCAATGATTTGTAAATGAGGTCCTGGTAGACAGAGCTTGATTTCATGCACTAAAGCAGATTAATCATTTGTGCTTAAATCACCACTTGTTTTCACAGCTTACGAAAGTTTCACAATATTGCGGTCTGAACGACACTTGTAGCAGAACAATAAGTTCAGACAATAGTGGCGCAGGCATAGAGATATTTTGATGATATGTAGTTAAGCTAAAGCTAAATGACATTTTTGCCAACTAAAGTAGCTCAGAAACCTTAGCCTTTCTAGCTGATTAAGCGTGGTCACTCAATTTCTGTTCCACAGTGCATAATATCTTACACACACTGTCCAGGCTTGTTAGACAAGTTGCAAGTATGAGTCAGTTCATGGCACCAACACTTACTCTGGTACAGCATAAAAGTGGATATACCGAAGTACTTTTGCCAATGAAAAGAAATCTTTCCAAACCATCTCAACAGAGATCAGAAAAATAAAGGACTTTCAGAAAGATGTCACGGGACTAAAGTACCTTTGACTCAGCTTCCCTTCTTTAGGCATTTTCTGTGGCGGAACATTCATGGCTGAGTTCATTTAAATAGAAAAGCCCCGCCTCATTAGCAAATACATTTCAGCTGAAATCACTAGTGCTAGAGAGACTCGGTTGTCTCTTGCTGCACCATAATTTATGTCACCTGTCACAAATACAAAATTAATTTGTTGAAGGGTGGGGCCATCTTCACTTGTGCTTTACAAAAAGGTGTAGTCAAGGTACAAGGGTACTTACTGGGATGTGTAGTCATGGGGTCAATGCAGGCTAGTCTTTTGCTGCTTGTTGGCATTACCTTGGCTGAAGCTCACTGGTCAGGATGGGATAGATGGAGTCAAGACTTTAATAGGTTTAGGTCAAACAACTTCTTAAGGCTACCTCAAGCTCCAGCAGAGTTTCACCCTCGGGCATTTAGTCAAAAGCCAGCTGTAAGTCCTGTGCAGACAGCAGTCCAGGATCCTGTGCAGACACCAGTCCAAGATCCTGTACACAGTCCTGTGCAGATACCAGTTCAGGATCCTGTGCAGATGCCAGACCAAGATCATGTGCACAGTCCTGTGCAGACGCCAGTCCGGGATCCTTTGCAACTGCCTGTACAGAGTCCTCCACTTACAGGTCTAAACCCACCAGTCCGGAATCTGGTTCAGACTTCTGTGCCGGCAACTGTCAAGAGTCCTGCACTGACAAATGGTTTAAACCCTGTACAGGCACCAGTTCAAGACCCAGTTTGGAGTCCTCTGGCAGTGCCTGCCCAGAAACCTCCATTAACAGCAGACCAGGATCCAGTTCAGAATTCTCTGCCAGGGTCTGCCCAGGGTCCTGCACCAGTTCAGAATCCTGCTCTAACAAGTGTTCCAAAAACAGCAATTGTGTCAGTCTGGGATCCAAATCAGGATTCTCTTCCAGTGCCTGCACAGAGTGCTGCGGTAACAGGTGTAAGCCCACCAGTCTGGAATCTGGTTCATACACCTGTGCCAGCACCTGATCTGCATCCTGTGCAGACAAATGGATTAAACTATGTACTTGCACCGGTTCAGGACCCATTTCAGAATCCTTTGCTGACAGGCAATCTAGACCCTATACTCACACCAGCCCAGAGTCCAGTTCAGACTCCTGTGCAGGCACCAGGTTGGCATCCTGCTCAGGCACCCTTACCCCCACCAGTCAAGGATCCTTTCCACACACAAGCCCAGACACTACCTGAGCCCCTGAAGAAGCTGGCTTGGCATTTCCCCAAAGTTCCAGAAAGGCCTCAGCAGCCCCCAGTACACTTAGATATGCGACAACCTACCCCAGCTAACAGCGTGGCTGCTGCGTGTGGGGAGAGTGTGGTGCTTGTGGAAGTGAAGCAAGACTTGTTTGGAACTGGGCATCTAGTAAACTCTAGTTCTGTGACTCTTGGAGGGTGTGCAGCAGTAGGACAGGATTCTGAAGCTCAAGTGCTTATCTTTCAATCTGAACTCCAGGCCTGTGGTAGTGTGTTATCTGTGAGTAGTAGTAGCAGTAGTAGTAGCAGTGGCGGCGGCGGCTGTGCATACACTAATACATTTCTAATCTGTGCCATTCCAGATGACTGAAGATGACCTTGTCTACAGCTTCAACCTTATTTACAGTCCAGAACGACTACCTGGTACTCCCATTGTCCGAGCAGGGGGTGCAGTGGTTCATATTGAGTGCCACTATTCAAGGTGAAGGCTTAAACAGGCTGTCTTCAATCTTACAGATGTTCTAAAGTCTTACTTGAAGGGTTTTAAGGAAGCACAATGTGAGCAGCAATGCCCTGGTACCCTCATGGGTACCTTATGCATCTACAGAGGTTGCAGAGGAGCGTCTGGTCTTCACCCTGAAGCTTATGACTGGTTTGTTTCATAAAACTGAGGTGAAACTAGGACTTGTAGGAGTGCTGATCTAGGATGGGAGCGGAGTCTAGATCAGTACTTGCTCTGAGAAGCTTTATAAATATGGGCCCAGAGGTTTAAATCTTAAGCTGCTTCTAATATTTACTCACTGCAGATGACTGGAAGTTTGAGAGACCATCAAACCAGTACTTTCTGGGTGATTTCATGAAGATTGAGGCATCTTTAATGCGGTTCAACCATGTACCTCTAAATGTCTTTGTGGACAGCTGTGTAGCAACTGCTGTTCCTGATGATAGTGCAAGTCCAAGATACTCTTTTATTGAGAACCATGGGTGAGTAAGGCTTTCACCAGCCCAGAAACTAAGTAGTTGATAACTAACTGCATTCTCCTTCTAGGTGTTTGATTGATGCCAAGATTACTGGGTCCAACTCTCACTTCATGCAACGGGTTCAAGGAGACAAGTTGCAGTTTCAGTTGGAAGTGTTTAGATTTGAACAGGACAACAGTAGCTTGGTATGTGAGAATAGTGGCATGGCAGAGCCTTTTGTCCCAAAACCTATACCTTCTTATGAACTTAAAACTGATATTTGCAGATCTACATCACATGTTCTTTGAAAGGCTCAACAGCTTCATATCCCACTGATGCTGAGCATAAAGCTTGCTCCTTCACAGCCAATGGGTATGCCTCAAACTAATTGCTCACATTTTTGTTGATGTCTTGGATTTGTACTTAAGCTGCTGTATGTTTGTGGCTCATAGGTGGATTGCTGCAGATGGCAATAACCAAGTTTGCAGTTGCTGTGATACAAACTGTAGCTTACGGAAGGGAAGAAATGTACCTATTGATGAAGGTAAAGGCTTGAGCTGGACATCTTGAACCCCACCAGAAGTTGATCCCTATCTAATAATGCCCATCCTATTTTTCTAGGTCTACACTTTGAAGCTGAAGTCTCTCTAGGCCCAATCTTGGTCAAGGAAGATGCTTAGGCTGATTACAATGATGTAATGGAGTTTCTTAAAATAAAACTTTGGGTGAATTTAAAAATGGCTGTCTCCTTGCCTTTATTTCAGACCTGGTAGAGCTATGCTACACCACACTGCATTTGATGCAAATTAACTGTTTGGTTTGTCAATCTAGTTCTATAGGATCCTCCAGGGCCATATGTTCTGCTGGCTCTTAAAGCACTTGAAACAGCAGAACTCCTGATTTAGCTGTAATACTGGCTGAGATTGAGGGACTGTAGGGACCCTCTGGAATGGGGGTGCCCAGTCCTGGAGAGTCCAGATACAAAACACCAGGCTCTTATACTCAAATTTCCCTGGAAGCCTTCATTACCTGGATCAGGTGTGTTTGATTAGGGCTGGAGCTAAACTGTGGAGGGTGGTATCTCCAGGTCAAGGATTGGGTACCCCTGCCCTAGAAGGAGGTTCAGACTTGTGCATGGTACTGTCTGTCATACTTGTTGTGAACTGGAAATTGCAACACTTTTTACATGCTGTGATATGTTTCAGGAGGAACTGTGGTCTGATGACTGGGTAGCAGAAGGGAAACATGAAAGGTTCTCCCACCCTCAATGGTGAATTGTGCTTAAAGATGGGACATAAATGAGTAAGGTGAGATCTTGGCTTGGTAACTGTCTTCTTTCCTCATTAACCCTACCTGATCCACTTAATTATTGCCTGTAGAAGGCCTTCATGGTCTGAATTAAGCAATTTTTGGTTTGGGTTGGAGTTGAAACCTGCAGGAAGATAGATCTCCAGAAGATGGACTGGTGACCACTGCTGTGAGGTCAACTTGAAATTCAAGTTGTTTTAAATTGTTAGGTGTCATGATGGCAGTATGGACTGAATCTATGCATTTGTGGCTCAGTGTGTTTAGAACCTTTTATACTTTTTTTTCCATTTCTTGGTCTGCAGTACAAATTGTAAAGCTTACACTCTGTGAAATGTAATCCTTAATGTAATTTCAAAGTACATTTAATAATCTGGCTTCATTTTTTTTGTAATATGATTACATTTGACCCAGAAATGTAACACAAAGTGTGATGCTGTTAAGTTTTTGAAGAGGTTATCATAGCGACTCTTGGAAACTTGTTCATCTCTCGATTAGAATGCAATGATGATGGCGAACAGGACACTCAGTTCATTAGTTCTTTCAACTTGCCCACAGCTTGCTGCTTAGACTCCACCTCTTGTGTAAATCAGCACATGCAAAGAGCCTGCTGGGCTGCTTCCAGAAGCTCTCCACCTGTCCTTGGGTGGAATGGCCTGTTCTGGCCACAAGTTCCAAGTCCCAGATGAGCACTTAAAATCTTCCTCTAGTGCCGGAATGTCCAGTTCAAGTCTTGAACTCTGTGATCAGGGGATTGCATGGAGTTACTGTGTCTTAGCAGTGCATGCAAAAGCTTCTACGATGAGATAGGCAGCACTGACATGGAATCTAATTCTGGCACAGTGTAAGAACTGAAGACATGTGGAGTGACTTGAAGTGGGTGTGAAGTGAATCCCTACATCTGTTAAACTTCCACAAAAAGTTTGAAGAATTTGGTGGATGACCATGAGGGTGCATTTAAAGTAGCTGACTTTTATCTAATTTTTCCACATTTCTGTCTGGGTGTATCCCTTGTGGTGTTCTGTGCGTGTGTTTTGACTAACAGTGAGGCCTGTAGTCTGTTAAGTGGGCCTTTTCTGGCCAAATGAGCACACCCCCCTTTGCTGAGCTGATGGTTTCTGTAGGAGCAACACACCACGTTGATTCTGGGAAGCATGAACACTGCTTTGCCATGGAAAACCATTAGGTTAAGCACATTATAGTTGGATACAAGCATCAAATGGAAATCCGTTTGAGTGTTACATTCATATGTATTACTGTTGACAAAATTGTTTAAGCTAGGTGATGCAGGGGGTCATCTTTACAAGGCTTGAATTGACAAACCAGTTCAACCTCTGAAAATAAGTGGGAAAAGTTGTTTTTCCAATAACATGAAAAGATACCTCAGAAATAAATAGGGGTGCACAATAGGAAATTGCTCATTTCTTAGGATTACCACATGTTACAGATGTAGATGAATGCAGTGCTAGGAGTCTTGCCCAAGGATTCTTAATTGGTGTGGTATGACGTGCTTGACCAGGCAGAAACCTCAGTCAATCGAATAGTATGTTTTCTCTTTGAGATGTTCGAATACTTTTTTTTTGGTGCATGATCCATGATAGTTCAGCTTACTTGCCAGCTACGTTTGATGAATTTCCCTGACGTTAGCGAAGAACCTGTTTTCTAATGATGGATGATGCTAGCTGCAGCACAATCATTATTGCGGTGACCACACAAATGTTTCATGTTTATCAAACATATGAGTCCTATGTCAATTAATTAGTCTTAATACAAGAGCCAATCCCATTTTACCCCTTGCCCCTACCAGTTAGCCCTACTCCTCTGTTCACGTCTAGGTGCCCCGATTTCTGTTCAGATAGAGGGGTAGGGCGAACTATTAGGGCTACATTGCCCTCCAAACAGTGTTATAAGGGAAAAAAGAAAAACCAGCAAGATGGCTGCATGAGCGACTAAAAAAACCCCATAAATTTCAGTATTTTTTCTTTTGAAAAAGTTACCATAGCCATTGTATTATCTTAGTTTAATGTCATTTTGATGTATTATGGTCCTTTTCTACATAAGCACAGTAGTATGCTGATGTCTCGCTAGCTAGCTAAATTTTCCAGTCCGATTTAAATTTTAAGGTGGAACAAGGAGCTGGCGAATAGCTGACTTCAGCTTCATATCAGCAAAGGGTAGGCGATAATAAATTATCACATCCCCCCTCCACTCCATTTCCATGCCCAAATCGTAAATCTAATTATTCAGTAACTGCATGAATAACTTTTTTTGTAAAAGTTCCTCTCAAATTAACAGGAAATATGTGTTATGATCATAAACATATTGATATATGTTTACAATTTACTGCTAAAAGCCAAAAATCTTAGACGCTCTTTGTATTATTTTATAAAAGTAATTTTTACAGAGCAAAGTTGTGAGTTCAGCTTCTTTTATTATAAAGTTTTAAAATTACATTACCCATCTATTTGACTGGAAAGAAGACAGTTACAGCTCTCATATGACACCCACTTTCTGAATGAAGCTTATAAAATATGAAAATTATGAAGTAAAGAATATGACAAAGTGCGTTTTGGAACCACCGGTGGTCCGAAAAAGTTAAAGAGGTTAAAGGCATATGATGCCCTAAATGTAACTAAAGCCCAGCAGTGAGGTTGCTGAACTTTACCCTCCTCTGCTATCACTGCAGACTGGCAGGGTCGCCTACAGAGCAGCGCTAGTAGCCTTTTAATAAAGTAATGTTCTTTTTTATTTGAGTTGTCCCATTTCATAGGAGAAGATTTCAACCACTACCCCTTGTTAACTTGAGCTCCAAGGGGCAAGGGGCCTAAGAGTGTGGTGCATGCTTTTGCACCATTGTAGAAGCAGGCCTGCTTTGCCCTCTCATGACCTCTACATCTGTCCACCTCATCTCAATTAGTGAATTGTTGTTGCATTTTAGAGGTTTATGGTAAAAGGATATGAATAACCACTACAGACGGGGGGGAATTTATTTTCTTTACAACCTCTTTATTCCTCCCACTGCACATTATTCAGAACTATTTTTGAAATGCCATCACCACACACATTAAAACAGCTGCACTGGTAAAAGAAAATGAGGTACTATTAAAAAGACAAAAACAGCCTTCTACTCATTCTTTCCTTCACACCATTCACAAGCTGTTATTACCCCTCAGTTTTACCCAAAGTAAGCATCACCACCAACCACACACATTGCTTACCTCATTTATACATGTCTGCTTTACCGGAAACATCCAACACAAAATACTAACATCTCACAGACCTGATTATAAATGTTACCTTAGATTACAGTGTGTGTTCTATATTTGAGCATGCTCCTAAAGTCCAGACTTTCTAATGCTGACCAAGGTACGTACAGCATATATAATTATTTTCAGTCATCTAACCTGTCATGTTTCTACTTTCCAGCGTACAAAGATGAAAATGAACCTGGAACCCTCCTATTTGAATGACTGAATATACAATCTAGAACATTTCTTCACATTATTGTTTCAAATTTTAGTCTTTAGATTAAATAATTTCCACCAAAGAAAAGTGCAAACAAGTGAAGAGCAAGCCGGACCGAAAGTTACATCAGGCACCAAAATATGTCCCAATTAAATGGGGCATTACAGTTTAAAACCAGCATTTAATGTTATTTATGTTACATATTTTGTTATATTTATTCCATCTTGAAGCCTTAGCGGTTTGACAGAATTCACAATGTTCTCTCACTACAATATCCTACATGCATTATGCAATACGTCTTCCAATCATTGGGACCCGCCCCCCCCAACCAGGTGATAAACAAATCCTGGCTGTTGGCATAGCCAGATATAAAGCCAGCTTGTGGGACAGAAAAAAACATGTCAAAACAGTTCACTCACAAAAATCTCCCCCAAAGTGCTTGGAATTTTTAAAAAAGTCCTCTGACCTTCAAGATGCATCATCACAAGGGGATTTTCCAGAACTTTAAACCTGTAAATCTCACTCTAGAAACTACTCTGGCACCACTGTGAGAGGTGAGCAGGCATGTTTAATAACAGATTTTTCAAACGGATCATTTTTCAGTTTGACCAGTATATCTCTTTAATGTTAGTAATATGGTTGTGTCATGCTGCCTGCTCCTGATTAGTCATCACTCACTGCTTGCAACATTAACATTTTGGCTATTTCTTTGAGGCTGAAATGATTTTCAGTTCTGAGATCAGTATTTGATTACATTTTTGATATGCCCTGTTTTAAAATTTGTCATGAAAACTGTTAAATTTGAGCTCAGTCTTGGAGCTAAGATTGTTTTAGTTCATTTGTGAATTGTTTGTGACGCACCGAAATGAAAAAACTGGCATAAATAAAAAAGTTTATATAAAATAAACTTGATTACAGTTGTGTAACAAAGTTCACCATCCTCAGAAACAGAGAGC